GGGGGGGGGGGGGGGGCGTACAGAGATCTGGAAACTAGTTACAAACTTTTAGACATGGCCTGATCAAGTTTGGACTCCATACAAAAACCCCATGCTGAAACAGGTTCATTCTTAGATAAGCTCTACAGGAACCCTTGGCCAGAGATTGTCTCTTTCTGAAACGCCACCTTTTGAATCAAACCACACTTGGTTCAACACTCAAATTGTGTCTTGTCATAAAAAGAGACCACTGTAGCGAAGTGAAAAATGTATCAGATTGCAAAAGAAAACTTTTCCAGCTAAGACCAAAGGAATTTACAATTTATAATTGTTTTCAGAGTGTCTGGAAAAGATTAAATATTTATTTCTCAATCTTTTTCTCAAGCGATTTTATATGGTTCTGGAATTGTTTCAAAACATTTCACTTAAAAAGTTTATAAAATTATTTGCTATGATCGGAGTACACCTTCCATAACTATAAAGGGAACACTGCGGTTGATGACCTCTGTCGTTTCAAACGTGGATAAGATTCTAACCTGAGGTGAAAGGTGCGAGAGGACATCACTCCGTCGTTAGATTGACGCGTTATCAACATTTCGTCTTCCTAAATCAACTAATATCTCAGGTTAAGGTCTTGTGTAGTGTTTTTTTTTCACTTACAATTACATATAAATAATAAGTGCCTCATTTCAGATTCGTCAACTCTTGACACTTGTCCAACAGAGCAAAACCCCACAGTGTATGTGAACCCTGGAACCTTAGAACCGTTTGGTAGTGCCAACTACTCTCATTCCCTTCAATGCTATTGGAGAATAACTAGTCAATCTCCACGGAAGGTAAGTTGTGTTTCGTACAGTTTTATATTATTTGATAAAACGTAAGCTATTGTATATGTTTTATGATGTATTTAAATCACGTATTCAACAGGATGAATTTCATGGCGGAGTATGTAAAATGCGTTTTAATGATATATACATGAATTGAAACACGCCCCCTGTCAGGCAAAAAACGAATCCTGGACAGGCAACGCATTTCTTGAAGCATCGGAAAGATGTTGCTCTCCCACAAAATATATCTCCAAGGTTGAAAACAAGATCGGGTATTTCAATTCATATCATTTGATGAAATGAAAAATTACTAACAAGTGACACTAAAATTTTAAGTTATGCAAGCACAAACTTTGGTCGCGTTATTCCAGTCAGTCACATCTTTAAAATTCTAAAAGCAAGTTATTCAAATCCAGGTTCAATTAGCATTTCGCCTACTCCTGTTTCAAAATTTAAGACCCATTTTTAATCCTCCTCGAATTTCAAGTACATTGTGGTGATGCTCCTTGGTCCCATCATACATGTGTAATGGATTTAAGCTACTTTGAGCTCATTTGAAGTACATGTAGACCTACCCTCTACATATCATTTACTGAACAATTAAGCTAAAAGCACCCTGTCCGGCATTTTCGCGCCAAATCGAATTATCTTCGAGAAAAAATCAAATTTCAATCGTTATTAGAACCGTCCATGAACTTGGATTCGATGTTTTACACCATTTCTAATTAATTTGAAATGTCAGACTACACGTTTAGACTGCTGTTTTCTACACACCTCATATTTTCAAACACGTATATTATAAGTAGCATTGTTTTTAAAGTTGCAAGGAGATGGTGCATATTCCTGTGATATTTTTCCGTAGGAGGTGAAAATAGTCAATTGGCTAAATACAAATGTATTTTTGATTTTTCCCCTTGTAATAGATAAAAACGTGCTGTGTAGAGTAAGTCACACTATGTATTGTAACATATATCAAATTTGACAGAATGTCCGCTTCGAGATCACAGAGATTGATGTGGAAGATTTCCGACAGTGTTCAGCAGATTCGCTCTCAGTTTACGACGGCGAAACAATTTCAAAGAGTAGGCTACTTGGAAAATTCTGTGGAAATGAGAAACCCCCCGTCCTTTGGTCCAGTACGAGCACTCTACATGTCGTGTTTGAGTCAGATAACACACACGAAGGAAAGGGGTTCAAGGCAAAGTTTGACTTTGTTAGTAAGTGAAGAATTATTATCGATATATTTGCCACGTTACATATCTGCTCAAGATTCTGACACGTCACACCAATTTTTGGATTATACTGCACTTTGATAACCTATGAAATGAGACATACTCCAAATAAGTGTCCAGAGAATAAACTAAATATTTCGTTTTTCTTAAGAAACTTATTTTACATGCAACAAGTTTAAAAATCCTTTGGACCACAACAGTTTCCTCTTAAACAGCAATGTCTTATAATTACCATAGAATATCTGTATTACTCGATCACTCCAAGTATCTTACTTCAAGGTTCTGACACCAGATGCCCGTCAAAGTACCTCCCAAAATACCTGATTTCCCCAACGTCTTTGATGCCTTTTGGACTTGGTGTGCAGCTGTCGGACATGGAGTGTCACTGGATCGTCACGACACCTAGTGGACATAATGTATGGAGTTTTTGTCCTACCTCTTTTCGTGGCAATAATATGAAGATAACTTTTACTTTGTTAAAACATTATAAGTATGAGCATGGATTTCTAATTCTATGATAAAAGAAATTTTATTCAAAATGTCATGGGATTAACTTGTTTGGTGTAACATTCTGTAAAAGCTGATTATAAAGCGTATGTAGATTACAATTTAGAGTATGTGTATAGTTTCAGTAGTTTGATTGACGCTATTCAGACTTCGCAAGTTCGTAGTTAAATTATAAACATTTGCAGTTAGTATTTCATTATATATTGTAACTTTTACATATTTCATTTTTTGAAAAATAAACGAGACTACCCATCCCTGCTCCAAATCTGCACTTGAAACATGTGATACCATACAGTTCCATTACGTATCTATTACCAAACGAAAATGCGTAGTTAGAGTCAATTTTTTTTATGAAAGGATTCTTAACAAAGTTTTTTAATTTTCAGGGGATGATTTTGACTTTGATGGAGTTTCTTATGGATGAGGGAGTCAGCTGCAGTGAAGGCCGCCTCTCAATTTATGAGATAACACCCGACTCCGAAACTCCACTGGGTGAATATTGCAAAGAAAGTGAAAACCAACGTATTGTCTTCTCTGCCTCTGGCCAGGTGCGTCTGGTATTCCGTCTAACAGGGACGGCAGCATCAAAGGGATTCTGGATGTCATTCAATCTGCGCCCAGCCAGTAAGTTGCTTTTATATTTACTCATATGTTTAGTGTCTTTCAAAAATTCTTTTCTAAAGATTTTTAGATTTTGCTTACTTGATACACGCTGCTTAGGGATATTTCATAGAATTTGAGAAGAGGATTTTTTTTTTCATGGCTATTTCTCATTTTTGATCACCCTACTGACTTGCAAACCCTTGGGATTCTGTACAGCAATATAACAAATATAGGGGCCTAATCGGCATAGACAAAACCAATGTGCGCGGAGGAATACACTGTACAAACACATGATGGATACATGGCAACCATATGGATCTGTTTTTCCCGTGTTGTAAACATTACTGTCTGTGTTTGATGTTTGGCTTTCTTAATACTATTCTGAGGTGCTGTGACTATTTCAGAATGTGAAGAAGTTCTTATGTCACCCTCTGGCATGATTAAGACCTCTTCTTATCCAGCGTCATACTTTCCGGACGAGCATTGCACGTGGCATATACAAGGGCCACGTGGAAAAGTTATCAAGCTGACGTAAGTACAAGAAAATGGCTGTACTGAATAAACGGGCCATCGCTCTAACAGAAAAATTATATATGCATGACAAAGGCATTTTACCAAACCAGAACTTTAAGATATTTAACCGATTTAAATGTAAACTTTTGCCGACAAATGGGCTTTTTGAGTGTGCGTCAATCCGCTTGATCACATGACTAAACCCCAACTGCCTACATTTCAGATATTTACAAGAATTTACTCTAACGATTCAATTTTCTTGTCTTACAACTTAACGTCTATATTAAACCCAGGTTTATGGACATCGACCTCGGTGACAGCGGTGACTATGTTGAGATTCTGGAACCATCAGACATTGCAGGTGTCGTGGACCGTCGTCAAAGGATCGACAAAATGATGTCCAATCCCTACCTGAGCAGTTCGAATAAACTTCTGGTAAAATTCAGGTCCAACAATGCGGCAGGTGGCAGAGGCTTTATGGCAGTCTACGATTCGATAACGGGTATATTCCGCTTGTGCGCGCGTGTATGACACGTTGTGCGAGGCTTGAAAATCTTAGTACTAGTATTTCGCTATAAGGTTATTGTCGAAGAGTTAACTTTGGGTAAAATGTCTATACAAACTTCGTGAAAGTAGCTGGGCAAAAGTCTCACAATTCTGAGATACGCATGTTACAGTTATTAACAATAAAGTTGTATAAAGTGTTTCGTTTTATTGGGACACTATTCGTCGCTTTTGGAATTAATGTTTTTGTAACGTCATTTTCACGTTTTTCTTTCTGTCAGCCCCACCTGTATGTGGGGGTGTGAGCAATGGCGGGGAAGGTGTGATATCGTCCTTGGATGTGGTAATCAACCCTCCGCATCGGGACTGTGAGTGGATAATAAAGGCTGGCGAGGGCAAAGTCCTGAAGATAACGTTTAGTTCCTTGAAAATGCAGCCAGCATTTGGAAACTCAGCCTGTTCATATGAATACGTGGAGGTAATATATTTGTTTTCCTTTAAATTTATTGAATGGCTTTAATTTGTTTGGTGAAAGGGAGATTCCTTTCGAAAGTCAGAATGATCACATTATTTAACAGAAGTAATGATTTTTGTCCATATTTTTGCCCACTTTGCTGAGATGTTTTTCTTTGGTTTAATCTTTTTCCAGATAAGAGACGGCGCAACTAGTGCTGATCTTCTTATAGGTCGTTATTGCGGCGACGCCTTACCCCGTGATATTTTGACGTCCACCAACGAGGCGTATGTGAAATATCATTCTGACCATTTAGTAAATGGAAGACGATTCAGATTATCGTACAAAGAAACAGAAGGTGAATAAGCTTTCCAAATGAACAAAAGCATTAGCTAATATAATGAAAATAACATTTCAGTATTTTCAGCGTACATTGGTTCTTAAATGACATAGGTAAGCCTCACGTTAAATTAATGTTAAATGATTTTTAAATTGCAATTCTATTTTAGCCATATGTGGCGGTTATCTTACCGGACATGAAGTGCCTTTTAAGCTGACGTCACCACGTTTCCCACGTGACTACCCTTATAACGTCAGATGCAAGTGGACTGTTCAGCCTTTACCTGGTGACCATCTAGTTGCTTACGTTACCGAGATTGCTTTAGAGTCCTCAGTCAACTGTCGTTACGACTACCTCGAAATAAAATCGAATGTGAGTACTCACCTTGTTTAGTACTGCAGTTTTTCATGTGTGCTTTTCATAATTAAGCATGTACCTCAACGAATATTTGTCTTAATATGCATTTTTATTCAAGAAAAACCAGACAACAGTGCTGCGAGCGTGTGGTACTGATTACCCACCAGAATTTTTGATAGATGACGGTGTGGATATTTATTTTGTGGCGGATTCTACAATAAGCAAGAAAGGGTTTTCAATGACGGTTACATGTGAGTATTTTCATCCGTTGTACTCAATGTCTTTCCAGTTTGAGCTATATCATGGCGTGAAAGAGAGCAAATGGACGTGCTATATATGTGTATCAGGCATTTTAATAATTAATAATTAAAATTATTCTGCTTTTCAGTTTGGCAGGGAACTGAACTCAGATTTTACGTCGTTCTTTTCTTGAGTTGCCTTTAACTAAAGCGCAATTTAGTATCTACCATTTACTTTCAGCAACGCGTTTTCCCAAGACAGCCGAGTTGGGATATACAGTTACGTATTCAGAACCTTGTCCAAACGCTACAAATTTCCAGACTGACATAAAGACCATGTTTAGGGAAACATTCTTCAAGCAGTCTCTACAGCCTCTGTGTGTAAGCCCACCATGCGAGTTTGGAGACACCATAATCATTTGCCAGCCAAATTCATTCGTAGTGGCATTTCGTAGCCTCGAGGACTTGACCATGTATGATGAACAGAACCAATATTTCGCTAATATCTCAACACTGATTTCAAAGTTAAGCAGAGACAGTACTTTCTTGGAATTGGAGCATGACTGGTTTGAAGGATATTTCGTCACACCAAGAAAGAATAGACGTCGTCAAAAACTCATTCCAACGCTGAAAGTCACATGTCGAGACAAAGCGCCCATTGGTTACCAGTGCCGTGAAGGTAGGTAACATGCCACAAATCTATCGAGTTTGTCAACATCGTTCCTTAAGTGTGGTCACGTGCATTTGTTGCGTGGATAAGGTAGGCCTATCTATCTGTTATTATGTCATTGCAAGAAATATTTTATATTATTTTAAGTTGAAACATCTTCTTGTAACAAGATATTTTTCATTCGTTCCATATCAAGGTAGGTCATCGTGTGATAATGTTTCATGTCGACATGGAGCCACTTGTTTGGAAGTGGAAGGAATTGCCAAATGCGTATGTGCTGGAGGCTGGGGTGGGCCCGAATGCCAATTTCGTGAGTAGCCGTTTCCGTTTTAGTCCTGTAAAGTTGGATAGTTTCAAAGATAGGTGACAGCTATTTTGGCATTTAATAATTTCAGTCAAAAAACCAACATCCAGAGTGCCTTTTTATATCGAAAAATATACTTAACTGGATCGGACGTCTGATTGAAATATTGACAACATAGTAGTCTGGCTATTAATGAGAGAGTCACCTGAACCCAGCACCTTCGCTCGAGATGATCAATACGAACTTGTGCTAGGAAGTAAAATCCCATGCAGCGTAATTAATTAATGACACATTGGCATGTGTCAAAGTCGTCTGGTCCAGTAAAGTATACCGCTCGACGCGAAGAAAGCCAAATAGCTGGGTGCCCCCGCCCCCCCCCCCTTGCGGACCCCGTGGTCAGAAGGAAGGCAATACGGGATGTACAGAGCCTGTGAACCAAACAGTGATCATATATGCTTGCCTTAAAGATATAGTGAGGGTGAGTAGTAAGAAATGGACGCCAGGTTTACCATCGGCGTGTGGATTGACGTGTGGATTGTTTGTTTGTCTGTCTGTTTGTTTGTTTGTTTGTTTGTTTGTTTGTTTGTTTGTCTGTCGGTCTGTTTGTTTATCTGTCTGTCTGTCCGTCTGTTTGTCTGTCTGTCTGTCTGTCTGTCTGTGTATTTGTTTGTATGTCTATATATCTGTCTGTTTGTCTGTCTGTCTGTCTGTCTGTCTGTCTGTTTGTTTGTTTGTTTGTTTGTTTTTGAAGGAGGGGTAACTATGGATATCAATGCTTTTTTATTTCTTTTTTAAAGTCCTTTTATTTTTTCTTTGTTTTGAAAATCTTGTCTGTTTTGATTTTCAGCCTCGTCTCATCTTATAGGTAAAAGTGCGCTTGCACTGAAGCTTGCTTCATTAAGCGCGTACACAAACAGTTTAGCTAAGACGCGCAGTGGACACAGTCCATATTTGGTCGCTCAAGTGCCCTTGCACTGAAGCAGGCATATCAAATATATGTCTAAATGGTGTACACAACAAACAGTTAAGCTCACATGCGGGAGTCCGATACAGTAGAACCCTTTGACTCGACCAGCATGACTTCATATAAATGTTGCCACACATCGTAACACCAAATTATTCTTTGTGGGCGTGGTGAAATCATTGATTGGGCGTGTGCAATCAATCGTTTCACGAAAACCGATTTCCCACTGCCCGTCGGACCAGTCACCATGGCAGTAAATGGGGATATGAGTGGTCCACACTCACTTCCAGCCTGCAGATTAAGCTGAGTTTTCGCCTGGTGTACACTCATTACGTGTCTATCCAAGTTGTCCTTTCTGGAGAAGGTTTTTGCGCACTCTGTACACTTGAGCATCTTTTCAAAGAATGAGAAGGGGGGGGTGAGGAGTAAGCTATTTATATACACCCCTCCTCCTCCTCCTCCCTAACTTCTCCGAGGGTGTACACCCTCCTCCTCCTCCTCCTCATTTTCTTCTTCTCTACACCTCCTGACTTATTATTCCTCCTCCTCCTCCTCCTCATCTTCCCTACACCTCCAAAATAAACAACCCAATAATGCACTGGAACAAACTTCAGTGCAAGCGCACTTTTACCTATAAGATGAGACGAGGCTGAAAATCAAAACAGACAAGATTTTCAAAACAAAGAAAAAAAAAGGACTTTAAAAAAGAAATAAAAAAAAGCATTGGTATCCATAGTTACCCCTCCTTCAAAAAACAAACAAACAAACAGACAAACAGACAGACAGGCAGACAGACAAACAGACAGATATATAGACAAACAAACAAATACACAGACAGACAGACGGACAGATAAACAAACAGACAGACAGACAAACAAACAAACAAACAGTCAGACAAACAAACAATCCACACGTCAATCCACACGCCAATGGTAAACCTGGCGTCCATTTCTTACTACTAGGGTGAATTATAGTAAAGTGACAAGACTCGGAACCATGCACTTAGCAGTAATTTTATGACCTACTTTATATTGTTTCACTTATTTGCATAATGTACATATGTAAATATGTATTTCAGGAGACACCTGCAGAATTAATCCGTGTTTTCATGGTGGAACATGTTACAATGGTATAGGTTCAGAGTATCAATGCCGTTGTATGGTTGGGTTTTCTGGACGAAGATGTGTAAGACGGTAACAATTTTGTGTGCCTCTCTTAAATCAGTGAGCAAAGTTGATTCAACTGTGAAACTAGCAGATTTAAGAGTACAGTGCATCCACTTTCACACAGCCTTTATGTCTCTTCATTAACCCAAACGAAAGGATAAGTAAAGGACAAACAAAAATATGGTGTTCGAAATTTGGCCGGTAGCGTTATTGAAAGGTTATTGAAAGGTCCCTCTAGTAAAAGAATAATGTAAGTTATTATATAGCATTAGATAATGGTGAATTAATTAAAATTACGCATTGTTATAGCATAAAAATACATATCAAAACAAATAGTGCACACATTTTAAATCTAATACACAGGGCACATGTAAAATGGAAATAAACAAGGAGATGGGATTTGTTTTTAATGATACGTATTAAACTCAATAGACGAATTTTTATTTTTCAGACTACCTTTCCTGCGCACGCTTTGGGGAAAGTTTCTTTTTGGTTCGAGTCACAGTCCGTGATTTTGCATATATTTTTAATCAAACATTTGTTTGTATATCTCATAACAGCTAGGAACGGAACACATGTATATGGATAAGTGTCCATTTATTCTAAAATATTGTTAATGTTTTGGGAATTCAGTGAATATCAGTATAAAACAAGTATTGATTGTTAGTTATAACGCCGTTGAAAAGAATTACCGAATCACACTTTCAAAGACTGTCAACACATGTTGCATGGAAAAATTACACTGAAAATAAGAATGCCCTCTTCCGCACATACAGTCATAACGATTCATGATATTGCTTGTAATATCACATACTTTCACTTTATAGTTCTAAGCTGCAGACCTTTTTTGATGCTGCTGCTACTGTGTAAATGCAGTGAAATAAAGCATAATGTAGGCCTAACAATTAAATGTTACCGAGTTTTTTTTTAGCACAGATTAACTTCATATTTGTATAACGATAATAATTGCGAATAATATTAAACTTTTAATTTAAAATAATTTTAAAAAATATAAGACAGATGCTAATTCATATGTTGTAAGACGAAATTCAGATTTGAATGATCTTAACTTTTTAATCATTTTAAAATACATCCATGGTTATTCACTCAACACCAGGCATTCAACGAGGGGCATCCTCAGTTTCCGCAGGCACGGTGACGATTACCACAAACAGGAAGACACTCTTGGCTAGTGGGTACATCATGGAGCTGAATGGCTGACGGTCCAGGCCAGGCAAGGACATTACCCTGACCACACCCTTGAGTTGGCACGTCAATGACTTGGTTCCATACATCAACAGACGCTATATCCCCTATGTATGCTTGGCTTGCATCAAACCCTCCACCAACATGGTCTTGATCTTGGCCAACCACCCATACGCCATCTATAACATAACATGTATAGTTGTAGGTAAACACATTTGAGTTTCTACACACACGCACTCATACACTTTCCTACACCATTAGATGATGTATCTTTCTTCAAAAATATAAAGAGACAAAAAAGCAAAAAATACAAATACACTAGCCTGGCTTTAATTGGCCTCCCTTCTTGAATCCAGAACCGCTATTTATCATATCACCATCTACATATAACGTCCAATTCCCATCGGCACTGTCCCACGTGGTGCAAACAGAATGCCAACTGCCGTCAGCAAGTGCGGTTAGATTTCTTGTCAGGCATACACTTTTATCTGAAAGGGTGAGCCACAGGCACGGTCCATCTCCATGAAGAAGGATATGATTATTATGCGACTGTACTGCATGTGAGAGGAAATATTCAAACTGTGAAGTCTGTGTTCTCATGGTTACACATGCGGTCATTTCAACCATTGGCCCGCCGGACAAAGGGCGAAGTTTTGCCCACTCGGTCGCAGAATTACCAGGAAACCGTAGTACTGTTGCCTCTGGCTCTACAGAAATGTAATGATTTTTATTTGTAGAGTTTAGTTTTACAATTTCTGTTAAATAAGGCACATGTGTTGTATAATTAATAATTTAACATTATAATAATGTACCTTTATATTCTCACTCAACCCGTAATAGAGAAATAATCGAGTTTCAAAATAAAGGATGGCTATTTGATAATGCTGTTAAACAGTTTTAAAATAAACTTTATCATACTTTTGCGAAAACAATTTTATACGATAAAAAAAGAAGTTGTTTAGCATAATATTTATCTCAATAAGAATCTTGAATTATGGTAAGGCTAGGTTTCTTATGTTATAATATATACAATAAACATGAAAGGGCCTGTACTTTTTGAAAATCCTCTGTCTTTAACACTCTATTACCTTTTACACTCCATATATACATGTACTGGTTTAATTCATTCTGGATGGTACGGTATTTCTTGGACAAATCAGCCAGTATGTTTCTGTGGGTAATTAGGTCCAGTTCTGCCGCATCCAATTTCTTCTCAATGGCTTGGTTGTGGGCTTCCAGTGCCTTATTCTTTGCCGATAGATCAGAAACTTGACCAGCTAATTGGTTTCTTTCTGACATTAAGCCTTGAACTGTATAAGCGAGTTTGGTGTTGTCTTTTGCAAGGCCATCGTATTTGGCTTGCAACTCTAGTAAGGACGAAGCAAACGTTGATGACTGCACGTTCATTGAATTTATCCCTTTGATGAACTCTGTAATGTTAGCTAAAATGGCGGCTGTGACATCGTGTCCTTGTACCGTGGGATTCCCACACCTCCCCTGTGGATGGGCAAGGCTGATATGGTAGTTACATTTCTCATCTTGAAAGCTGCACACAGGACCTGATGGTTCTGCCGGTGCTTCTGTTGGTGACACCTGACACTGCCCAATAGTGGCAAAACACAGCAGACCAAGAGCAACGCAAAACATCCTGACCGTGATGTTAAGAAGCGTCGGTAGGTGCCCCCCTGTCCTTCACAAATAAGGTGCCTGGGTGGTATGAGATAACAGAGATATTTTTAGGTGACGGAGATAAAACATCATCTTTTCCCTCTAAAAATAGCGTCGTTATCGCTGTTAAGAACCGAAGTGTCGTCGGTAGCACTAACATATATAAAGGATGCCCCATCTTCTATCCTACATGTATGTGCTTTTGTTTACAAATTATCATATTCCATATACCATATTTAGTATGCCTTACGGTTAAGAAAAGACAAAATACCGGTGAAGATACCCATGTTTTATACCATTTATTCAAATTAAGAACATGCACCACCACTAAAATACTTTTCCACAGTGATATCCATAGAAGTAAAAAAAAAATGTGACATAAGGGAGACACGGCCAAATGTCATCAAAATTATACACAGAATGCGCTGTATAAAAGTCTACCAGCGTGTGCGCGTACGGCGTATACATGCTTTTCTTCTCACCGGTGGAACCACTACCATTTCAACTTCCCTGGAACATACTTTTCAATGAGGGACTGGTAGTATGGGATCAAGGATTCGACGTCTGGGGTGACTTCACTCTTGGAATACAAGTCAAATTTACTGAAACATAAATTATAGCCATTATATGTCTTTAAAACATTACAACAACACTGTTAATTTTAACTAAAATGTTAATTGGTACATGATTTTTACACAAAAATGCATGTGATACATAAGAGATAAAACTTTGAGCAACGAAAATATTAGTGTCCGGTGACATGTTCTACATGCGTTTTATTTTAAGTAATGTCTACAATAAATCGTAACACTTTCTCCGCAAGAGAATGGGAAAAATTGCCACAAGTTATAACGAAAATGCCAATCTCAGGATTCAACGTAATCAAATGGTAACAGAACTGTCAACGAACATTTTCAGCTTATTAATTAAAGCAGCTGTTTGCAGTCTTTGGATGTTTAAAGTAACTGCTATTGTTTTCCACATGGCATGTAAAATGGATTTAAAATTTAGAATTTAGCTGTCAACTTTTTTTAACTCTGAGATTTGTGAAGTTGATTACTTGAACTCTGTAATCCATGGGGTCATCTTCATGTCCTGCTCATTACACAGGTAGTTATAGTCCTTGCCTGTGTGCCAGGGGTAGAAAGAGTGGAACCGCACCATGTACAAGGCCTCCTGTGGCAGAGAACACTTCTCATGGTTCAACAGGACACGGTACATGTATTCTGAAACAATCCACGTCGTGGTTCGTGTGGTGAAAATTGTTGGGAAAACTTATGAAAGAAATCTATCGCTAAATAATCTAACCTCAAAATGAGGTCCACTGCACTTAATGTATAACCAAAAAATGATATCATGAATAGATTAAATACCACGACAAAATCTGAATGTGTGAAGTAAACATATGCACCCACCATCATGTCCCCACGACATTATCACTTTGTCTAAGCCACAGTTTTCTGCATACATGCCCAACTTGGTGCTGATCAACAAAACAAGATAATAAAAACATGCAACTTTAAGAGTACTTGTCGAGACTTTTTAAATATTTGCTTCCACCTAGGGGAGCAAAATGCCAAAAGATCAATATATCATAATCAAATGATATAAATCACACCAAAACAACAATTATAGCATTATTTTAACCCTTTTTATCAATTGATCAAACCTTGCCAACCCCTCCCCCTACATTTTATCCCCCAATACGAATCTAAAAATTAATTCTTTACTTCTCTTCTAAGAGGAAATAGAAACTTACTTGTATAGAGGATTGTTGATATCAGGGTTGTTTTCAAAGCTCTTCCGACCAAACACTATTTTATCACTGAATGCACAGCCAACTGGGAAGGTGTCACCGACAACAAAACACTTAAAAAAGAATTTTATTGTGCCATATTTTTCATTCATTCAAAAAAGGACACTATATGACTAATATTATTTAATTACACATAAATCTAAATCGCATAAATTTTATTTAAAATACAACGGTTCTTTTGGATTTACTTTGTTAGAGTATGTAAACCCACATAATAAATATGCATTAGCTCATGGGAGCAAACAGCTTATGACAGAAGCATATCTGAATTTTGAGAGAAACATTTGCACCTGTAACTTGGCATTAGTAATAACTCACTTTCAATTATAATCTTAAATATATTATGTGGACAACACAATATGTATCACCTGTGGTTCTCCCCAAAGGGCCATCACCTTGCCAAGATCATGTATTAATCCTGTTAGATGAAACCAGTCAAGATCCGGATGTGCCTGGCGGATACGCTCAGCTGTTTGGAAGGCATGGATAGCATTTGGAAGCCCAAACTAAAAATCGATAGCTTTCAAAAACCCGTATACATTGCATATTGTAATGTTCAAAAATTTAACCTTTAAATAACAGAATGAACCAATAAACGTCTGTGCACTAATTGCCACGTTTAAAAAAGGCCAACCAACATGAAAAAAAAAAACACTGGCTGAAATGTATACAAAATCTCTATGCGAAAAGATGCCTGTGAATGTCACAAGATACGAGACTTGATACAGTTTCAATACATCTTACATCAGGGTCACTTTCATCCACAAGGGCATTAAGTGCCTCTACGGCCTCCAAGATGGTCATTTCCATGCGGTCAAACTTGGTCCAGTATTCAACCTGAAATAAAATCTCAACTAGTTGCCACCAATCAATGTTTAGATGTCTGCTGAAAATTCTCGAAGGAGATTACAAAGTAGTTTTCACTTGAGAAAGGGAGACGAGAAATAAGAAACAAACAACAAACTGATGACCAAAAGTTGAGTAACACAATTTTTTTTAAATTGTAAAGTAGTTAATCATGACTCATGAACACGATGAACTTTCTGGCAAACCCGTATGAATTTCCGTGTCGCAGGTACTATTAAACAAACTTCTAAGCTGAATGATTTGGCCTGATTTGTCGCCATTTTGAAAATAAATAAATTATGATAAATTTTATGGATCTATTTTGGGAGTTTTATGTATGAAAGTGTTAAACATTGGCGTATTTCACAGGGAAATGTTTTTATTTCATAAATATCCAAATATGTTACTGACTGATTGTGAAATTCAGGCGTTGTTTGAATTTGGCAATGGTAAATTAATAATGCTTAAACCTAGACTTAACAGAATAAAGGCCTGAATATCTGTCCCATAAAATGTTTGAAACAGACATTTTGTTTATTTATGTCACTGAAAATAAAACTATTTAATTATTCTTGCATGAAACTGACCTTGTTTATCACACTTTCGACGCACTGCTTCGAATGGATTTCACTGTACGTTTTCCTGACACGGTCAATAAATTCACCCCCCTGGACAAGAAAAATATTTAACTTTTTAGCTATAACAAATAAACATTTTTTTTTTTAATTTTTAAAAACACAGAGATATATATTTCTCTCTTTCGTGTAATAATGACAAATATGTCAGGGTATGCTTTTGTTTGTCATGTTTCCGAGATCCACCATTCTTTGTTTTATGATGCAACAAAATACCCTTCACAATTAAGTCAAACTTGAAGATGTACAAAGACACTCACAAATTTGTATTTCTATTATGAAATTAATGTAAATTCAGGTACAGCCAATGCCAGTTACTAGCAACTGTTATGTTAAAAAGGCATTTGAAGTCATTTTTGCCACAAAAACCGGTCAAATGCCACCATACAGTTTTCAATAGTATTTCAGAGAAACACCAAAATACATCGTTTCATATTACTCGAAAAACTGTATTTGAACAGACTTTTAACTTGCTTTTTGTGCTGTATATAAACGGGACGGAAAATTAGGTCTGATAAACAAGTCAAATTTATGAGCACAAATTTGAAGAAGGTGCAGCTTAAAGCGAGTTATTTTATGGCTGATCGGCTGATTAATTGGGTTTTTCCTTTCCTTTTTGCCTTGATCTGAGTCGTATAAGAAACAAATAGAAGTTACTGGGAGTCCACGCTCCACCGATGCTCGTCGCCAATGTACCTTTAAGGCAAACTCTGGATCAATTGATCATCGACACCTCGAATCTATTGGACCATTTTTGTTTGTGTCTTTTTATTCTCGTTCATTATATCCATTTAATCGGTTGCGTTATAGTGTACAATGTGACTGTGGAAATTTTCCCATCCTTTTTGGACGAGTTCATATGTCTTTACCTCATAGTTTCTGAACTGTTCCTCACCCTTGTGATCTGGTCTATATTTGTCTGATGGGTCAATTATGTAACATGGAGCCTGAAATATTAAACAGCAATTTTAGTAAAGTCAAAGTTGCTTAGCTCCAACCATTATATTCTTACCGGATCTGCTAGATAGGTGTGACAGACTTTGTTTTCTTTATCTGTACGTAATGTGATTACCTGATTACTTTGCCTGTCAATGTCGTCGTCGTAGCTGCACCGAGGTCGATGCCATCCGACACGTTTGTCTACATCATAACTGCTAAGCTGTATTTTTTATTTACTTTAAATTTACTAGTTATTGATATTTTCCATTTATGCTAGCATAACTGTTTTTCTTCGTATATTTTTGCGATTTTCGCCTTTTAGCTGACAAACGTAGTATTTTATTTACTTTAAATTTCCTGGTAAGCTTTGTTTGGCGAAAGGACAGGATGAGTTTAGAATTTTGGATGATTGGCACGTTTTTCAATCATATCTTTCGTGTCTCTCTCTCTTTTACGTGTATACTCATTAGATGTCTGTTGAAAGTTTCTCGTGATTTTTAGGGTATAGGACACTGACAGTGCCCCATGAACTGTGATAATATCTTCATATATGGAAGGTGTTAATACAACAGTGTGCATTGATGGTCAGAAAACCAGAAGATATTGTGATTAGTGAAATGCATTCGCTTAAAACTCTTGCACCGTCTAGGTCAGATATAATCTGTTACTTTGAGTTTTGGGGGTTTATGTCTGAATTGGTGCACTTTTTATTAATGTCTCGTTTACACTTCCTGTGCGTCAAGCATAACAACGAATTCGTAAAAATATAATTATTGTGTATTTGAACAAAGAGGAGATCATACTGGAGACTAAGAAAATGTGGGTTTATTCAGATAGGGATCATGTAGTTGTTGGTATAACATGTCGAAAAAAAGCATCCGAATCCAAGCTGTGTGCTGCTGGCATGTAGTTGTCTGCAAGTGTGCAGTAGATACAAATTGTGAAGCCTTGAAGAATTGAACGCTGGATGAGGAATACAATCTTGAATTTATCTACAGATCAACAAATTTGGGTTCTTCTGTCGACTTAATTTGTCGTTGACTCTAAGCTGTAGTTACGCTTTAAAAAAGTCATAAGATGAGGTCAGTGGGTTGTTAAACGTGTTAAACGTGTTGAATTATGGTCATGAAAATCGTTACTAATTCTGAAGGTTATATACCCATAGATAGGATATACCCATAAAGGTAGGGCTAACATTACACTAAGAATAAAATCGGAGTCCAAGTGACTCCAAACTTGGAGTCCAGCAGTGGTGCATAAAATAACTCCCAATTGGAGTCAAGTTGACTCCGATGGAGTCACGCCATCCCAGACCCCACAGGAGGGTCACAATTGACTCCGTTCATACATCCCTTCATTCCTTGATTTATCTCTACAAAAGAGTCACCATGACCCATATTAGGGAATTTTCGACTCCTTGTCACATTATGAAAAAACAACAACAACAACAAAGAATTTACTTTAAGGAAAAAGGCTTTAATCACTGAAACATGACATTTGAATATGAATATGAAATATTGACACTCTGGTGGTCCTAATCTTCGTATACACACACACATACACAAAATGGACATGCAATGTTGCAAACTTTACAAAACCATTTCAGCATAGCATGCGGTATAAAGGGGGTAGGAGTACACTTAATATACAAAATACCTTTGTAAAAAGATTGTATCAAACATAAAAACTGCAATAAACCGTTTTAAGGCCCTGTCAGTGCCAAAGAGCAAACATACCCAAACTTTCCTAATTCTTACACAATTTGAATCTAAGTAAAAGTATGAAATTAACCATCTACAACTTTTGAAAAAAAATTCTCATAAACACACAGCTTAGTCAATAGTGTATGAAATTTCCCCCAAACTGTTTAAAGGCCATGTATTCTGGTAAGTAAAGTGTGCAATTTCGGCATTACCTTCACCTTGTCTTGGTGAATATCAGTGTTGCACTTATGTTTGTACATGTAGGGTAAACTAGATTAAAAACGAAAAATATCGCCAATTATAGGCCTGTAATTTCAATAAAAGACTTTGAACTCCCAATGACCATATGTTCAGCCCTTACAGCGTAGGTGGCCTCCATGAAGTTCCCAGAATATGTAATAACCGGAGATGCCACTGGCTCTTCCTCAAACACTGTTTCCTTTTTAACCAGAAGATGGTAATGCTCTTTCAACTGATAGGGTAGATACAAAAGGCCTACACACCTGACCGCATCTGAAAAATATTAAATAATATTAAATATTAAAGAGAAAAAATGAAATACAGAACAAAACCACATACAAAGATGCTGTAAACCCAAAACCACTAAACTGATGCATTATCATTAAGTTACTAGTTTTCACTAAAACTCGAAATGACCTACATGTGATTGTAGTGTTACATATACAAAGAATGAACGCATATGGTATTGAAACAGCAGTTAACTGGAAATAGATATCATGACATAGCAAATATACCACTGAGTGAGCATACCTCCCCAGTGACATGCATTGGCGGGTCAAACCTACAACCTGGAAACCTGACCTGTATACCAACATATCACATAAAGTAATGTAAATACTTACACGATGAAAACTGTTCTATCCACGCCATCTGCTCACCGCCATCACGAGGCTTACTGTCCAGCGCACGTTAAGAGTTGGTGAAAAGGGTTATCCAGACTCTGACCCACGGTAATTACCTCCGCCAAGGAGGTTATGTTTTCACCCCTGTTTGTCTGTTTGTCTGTCATCAACATAACTCAAAAAGTTATGGACCGATTTTGATGAAATTTTCAGGAACTGTCAGAGGTGTGTTAAGGAAGAGATGGTTAGTTTTTGGTGGTGATCCGGATCAATAATCAATCAATAATCAATGATAAAAAAACATCGAAAATTTTGGGGTGAAACGGCATTGGATGGAGACATTGCTGCCTTGGCGGAGGTCTGAGTGCTTTTCTAGTTTGACTCTGATTTTAGAGTCAGATTGACTCCAAGGGGTGATTGACTCTGATAAGAGAGTCTAAAGACTCTGGTCCTGGGGTGATTTGACCCTTATATATAGGAGTCAACTTAACTCCATGAGGGTCAAGGGGTGGCTCTGACTAGAGAGTCGAATGACTCCAATTTTATTCTCAGTGTTGTCTTCAGGTGTCATTTTACCCGTCGAAATGCCTAATTACCTCAGCCAAGGAGGTTATGTTTTCACCCCTGTTTGTTTGTCTGTCTGTCCTTCTGTCTGTTTGTCATCAACATAACACAAAAAGTTATGGACCGATTTTGATGAAATTTTCAGGAACTGTCAGAAGTGGGCAAAGGAACAGATTAATAGTTTTTGGTGGTGATCCAGATCAATAATCAATCAATAATCAATAATAAAATATATCGAAAATTTAGGGGTGAAACTGCATTGGTGGAGGTCTGCGCTCTCTGACTGCTTTTCTAATTAAGCGTATGATCCGTAACCGCTACAAATAAATCCGTAACCGCTGCAGATGAAACTAAAAGAGTTATTTACAAAGGTATGAAAAACAATCAAATCGGTTCCATAGATACCTGAAAATATCTTTAAAACTGATGTTAGGTGGCCTTGTTCACGATAGACCATCGAAAATCTTGTGTAATTTAACGTTATTGGCTTATTGCTGATAAAATTTAAACAGAGAGGTTTTACAAAAATGGGTCACACCACTGTGCAATATTTATGCACAGCCCCTATTCGCCGTTGGAATTATCGGATACATGCCCATATAATAGGGAACATCATGAAACCAAAAATGGTACTTTCACTCCCAAACTGCTGATATGACGTAATCAGCAATATGACCATGCTTCACTGGGGCAAATATAGTGTCCATAAGCATTAAATATAATATAATATAATAGCAAGTTTTATATAAAAGCGTTTTAGCCTGGTTTTTTTATTAACAGAGTATATAAGCTTCACCACTCTCTCATCTCGACGCTGGTTTCAACTTACCATCGTGGTCATCTTGAACTGTCCGTGTCAAATAGGAGACCCACTTGAGGAATAACGTGTCTCTTCGTGTTGTATTCACCACAAGTCAGGCGCCGAGACTCTAGGAAGGGATGGGTCGAAAGAATACAACACTATCACCGTTCTGGTGTCGTACCAGCACGAGAATGACACAATTTACGTCATCAACATACAATATAACCAGAAAATGACACTATTAAATTATAAGTTCCCTCAGTGCATTAAAATCCAACTTTTTCTTTGAACAGTTCTTTTCAAAGGGTAGATGCACATTCTTGAAGATTCAGGGATATTTGCTTTTCAAGCCTCATATAGGGCCTACTGGTAGTTTGTGAAAGTGATTTCTTTTTTGGCTTCATACATTCTACAACCTCCCCCCCTCCAAATAATAATAATAATAACCAACACACACACAATAAAGAAAAAATGCACATAATGATAATAAAAATTGTCGATAATGAAAAATTGATTGGCCGTTTTGTCTGCCCTTTTGAAAATTATTTTTTACCAGAAAAATAACTGTAATGGTAAAAGTAGTTGTTCACGAATGAGTAACACTTTGCCAATTAGTAAAGTATGCTAATGCGTTAAATTGACCCTACGCTACGCTTCTGATATCTTTTTTTTTTAAGTAAGGTGTGATAGCGCCTTCAGATATGACAATCATTGTGAACCATCTTAATAAAGTAACGTATAAATTACACAGTTCTCTATACTTTATTTCGTCGCGACAACAATCAACACGGACCCAAGTTTAACAGCACTCAAAATTTATTAATATTTAACTGAAAATCATTGGACATCGTCATTATTGCGACTACACCATCAAAAACTATTAAACGGCAATCATTATTAACTAGTGCCAGATCTTCTGTGATTTGCAACTTTTCAAATTGAATAATAATAATTAAAAGATTGTTTCGGATGAGGGACATAACGAGTTTAATTTAAAGAATTGTCGTATATCTTACCATTTAGATTTTCTGCTGAATGCCAGAATTATGATTTTCATTTGGCAATCATTCTTAAAATCGTCTCGGAACATCTTAGAGATGATATAATGCGGGTTACCTAAATTATACGAATCACCATACCAGTGTCACGTGTTTGAAGGTACTCGATCGTTTGCTATTCAAATTACAATAAGGCAGCAATAGAATTTAAATTCTACTCTAAACCCATGAAATATAATATATTACCAGCAAAAATATTTTTGAGAGAAAGAGAGATTTCACCATTTGAATGCACTCGTGCCAAAGGGAATTAAGAAAAACAAAGTAATTTTTTTTATAAAAGTAATTTTATTCCTAGACAGTCCTGCAGTAGAAAACCGCGCCTACAACCGCATTCAGGTTTGTTAAAACCAGATTCAAATGGCATAAAAAAATATGACAGTACTTGTCTTGGTGCTTAAGAAATTAAAGACAGTTTCTGGATACCAGAAAGGGAGCTGTTTTCCCCTTAATAAACACATTAGTTTAGTACAGGGAAAAATGGCATTATAGTATGGCAGTACATGTTCATAAGCTTATGAAAGGCAGTGTCTGGACACTAGAAACAAAGCTGTTTTGTTTTTCCTTTATAAAAAGTTTGATACTTTAAAGTGACAAAATAGAACATGATGTATGTTTGTCAATAAGTTAATAAAGGCACTTTTTGCATACAGGTACCAGAAACAAAAGTTTGATATATATATTTTTCACCCCTAATCATTGAGACTATAATATAATTAAGTTTTATAATACATGTAAAATGTTAAAGATATATTCCTTGAAATTACAACAAATTATTTACTGGTCCCTTAATCCCTGATTTTAAAATTGATATGAAACTTAAATACCATTTACTCCTGCACTGCAATGAATTTTTTCTGTAAAGGTAAATTGAGGTACTTGTAAGATAACAAATGAACCATAACCACAGAATAAAAACTTCTTATCATTATACACTAAGACTATTCATGCCAACCTGTTTATGAAAACTTTTCAGAAAAGTTAACACTTCATATTGTCAACCTGTAAAGAGGGATGTCAAAAAGTAGGTCATGGCAAGAATGTGACTCTCAAATTGTGTTCATTCATCTTGTGTAATGGCTTAACTCGATGTAAATCACTTAATGAATGGATGGATGTCTGTGAGGCAATTTACTACATGAAACTATAAAAAGATAATGAAGAGAAAAAAAGAAAAGTAAAGAAAGTTATCCAATCTGCACCCAATACATCGGTTCTGCTACTCTGCTGAATTCACTGGTGGAACCATTACCATTTCAACTTCCCTGGAACATACTTGTCAATGAGGGACTGGTAGTATGGGATCAAGGATTCGATGTCTGGGATGACTTCACTCTTGGAATACAAGTCAAATTTACTGAAACAAAATAAAGTTCATTACGTCAAAGCAATAAAAAATTTAATATATTTCAAGTTATAATCAAGACAAGAAAATATTTGACATTGTACACGTGATGAAACATTGAGCAGCATAACATGTTATGTGTTATCATCTCTACTCTGTCTGTGTTTGTTTATTATTTCATGGCTGTGAGAAATGCGTACAACATACTTTGCAGTACTCTCTTGCAATGCAATACTCTCTCTCTCTCTCTCTCTCTCTCTCTCTCTCTCTCTATATATATATATATATATATATATTCCCATTCCCCTACCTACAGATATTTCTTATTTTATTATTTCTCAAGAGTGAATCACAATAGTCGTCAAACCAAATTACAGTCAGTTTTCTAGCTGTGAAATAAGAAATGCAAGATGTGATTACTTGAACTCTGTAATCCATGGGGTCATCTTCATGTCCTGCTCATTACACAGGTAGTTATAGTCCTTGCCCGTGTGCCAGGGGTAGAAGGAATGGAACCGCACCATGTACAATGCCTCCTGTGGCAGAGAACACTTCTCATGATTCAAGAGGACACGGTATAAGTACTCTGAAAGCATTCATGGCGGCGTTAGTATATACATTTGGCTAAAAAACTAACTGTTAACATTTGTGACCTTTGCTAATATGAATATCTGAGATGTATACATGTACATGGATTTGCATATATCAGAGGATGATGAATACACCTGGCTGTCTCTAAATGTAATGTCCAAATCATAAAGAATAAAGTTAACTATGCACTTGATACTGCACATAGCAAAGATGGAGGCAGGTATACGATGGATCAATATGGAACAGTACTTAAACTAAGTGATAAACCTTTCAGGCACATATTTTCACACACAAAAGACATTATAAATATAATAACTGATTTTTCAGTACAAAATAACAGAAACATCAAAAAGAAATCTGTTTATAATCTTAAGCACACGCCACAGGTCAATATGCAGGATGTACTGTCACATTGACCACAGTCTTGTCTATTTACATACCATGGGGCTGATATCACCCTATGTACGGTGATATCAGCAAATTCCATTCAATTTTGGGTGGGAAGCATGTATGATTTCCCTTTGTAGGTATGACAAATAATGCACTGCTACCCCCTAGCCTGATATACACAATAGCATGCCTCAGTATCGCTCAGCACTAATTATGTAAATAGAATGACCACAATATTAAGACCAATAAAACAAGATATAGATGTGTACACAGATGCAAGAACTTCCCAACCCTTCCCGCATTATACAGTCATGTAGTATAAATATCAGTCAATGTCTTTAGGGCTATTGTAAAGTGCAGGGAAATAAGATTATTGCTTTTATGATTCTGAATGTGTGAAGTCAACATATGCACCCACCATCATGTCCCCACGACATTAGCACTTTGTCTAAGCCACAGTTTTCTGCATACATGCCCAACTTGGTGCTGATCAACAAAACAAGAAGGGCAATAACACATGTCAATAAGAAATAGCATGTTACTTTTAGGGTATAATTCCTTGCGCATAAAGCTTAAGCATGAACAGCAAATACTAAAATATTAAAACATTGCATTTAGTTCTAATAGTTTCTATACAATTTGAAATAGACCACACATTAAAATTACACATAAAATATTATAATATGATACAATACAACATAATATAACTTTAAGCCATGTCATATTATATTATATTTTTATATTTATAATTGCCTTAGATAAATGGGTTTTGCAAGCAAGCATTCCCAACATTTAGTCAACAGTTAACCCATTTTTTACAGCATAAATCATAACTTACTTGTATAGAGGATTGTTGATATCAGGGTTGTTTTCAAAGCTCTTCCGGCCAAACACTATTTTATCGCTGAATGCACAGCCAACTGGGAAGGTGTCACCAACAACAAAACACTAAAAAGAAGGAATTTTAGCTTGAAAAGCATTATGTCAATACATAAACAATATATAATTTATATGCTTACAGCCCTCTACATGTGCTACATCCATGTCTCCACTACTATTTCCTTTTCTTTCATTCATAAAAAAGAAACATGGTTGATGTACAACTTTACTGAAGCTGTGTTCAAAATCTCTGCATTTTTATTTTTTCACAATTTTCTTTTTTGAAATAAAATAATCATTGATAAATATTCTAGGAAAGTATGCAGATTTAAAATTGGCTTAGCCAGAGTATAAAAGTCTACAAATAAAACATGCATGATTCATGAGAGCAAACAGCTTATGGAAACACAAATATAAAAATTTTGAGCACCATGAGTGCTACACATGGAACTTGGCATTAGTGATAACTCACTTCCAAAGATAATCTTAAACATATTATGTAGACATCATAATGTGTATCACCTGTGGTTCACCCCAGAGGGCCATCACCTTGCCAAGATCATGTATTAATCCTGTCAGATGAAACCAGTCAAGATCCGGATGCGCGTGGCGGATACGCTCAGCTGTTTGGAAGGCATGGATAGCATTTGGAAGTCCAATCTGGAAAATGGACCACCCAGTCCGAGCTCTTTCACTGCATATCATTAAACGTCAAGAGAGAAACGAAGTTAACCAAACATTTATGAATTTATGAAAACCCAATTTAAAACGTCATTTCATTTAGAGGTCCAACAGTCTACTTTATATGTCTTGATCATACATGTAATATTAATATATATTTTATTGTCTGTTTAGGCTTTATATTTATAATAAAGAACTTATCAATACAACATTCATTGTACTTCATGAGTTGGGCACCTCATTTGAGGAGGACATAGATTTGGAAACATCTTACATCAGGGTCACTTTCATCCACAAGGGCATTAAGTGCCTCTACGGCCTCCAAGATGGTCATTTCCATGTGGTCAAACGTGGTCCAGTATTCAACCTAAAATAAAGGCCCAATTGAGGTTAAAATGCCAGCAAAACACAACTTCTTAACTGGGATTTCATATTACATAGCACTTCAGGGAAAAGCCGAAGATTTATAAAAACAAAACAATACAACACCTACTTTGACAATTAAATGCACCTTTAAACCCAGACAGATCACCAACTGCCTTATCCTTCTGAACTGACACAGGAATATGTATTTACTTTTTCTAAAATATATACAGACCGAGTTTACATCATGCACTGAACATGTACTTTGGTATACTTAACAGACTGAACAGTGACTTATCACTTCACACTGAACTTACCTTGTTGGTCACACTTTCAACACTCTGCTTTGTGTGCATTTCATAATATGTCCTCTTGACACGGTCAATAAACTCTCCCTCCTGGCCAAGAGAAAAAATGACACTATTTTATATTTTATCAACTCAACAAAGAGTACTGTTGGTATGTACCAAACATAGCTAATAATTTTCTTAATCTATGGTTATCACATTTTTCTCCTCACATGATTATTACATTGTTCTCCTTTTATGATTATCACATTATTGTCTTCTTGGATTACTAGTATCACATCTTTTTCTTCATGTGATTTTCTAAATTTAGTGGTGAATCACAAAGCTTGCCCTATAATCTTATCAGCAAATAAATCTATTTATCATGGTCAGGACATATAGATGTTTCATTTAACTTAGTGTAATCCACTTCATTTCACACTCTTTTTAAATCCTTTATTATTAGAAGCTCTCTTTCAAAATCCCATTATCATGCAGTGCTTAATCTGAATAAATAAATAATGAATCAAAATATTTTTAAACTTTTTTAAGTAAAGGGAATGCATTTTACAGGATTAATATGGGAACTTGATTGATAACTCTGAGACTCATAATTGTAGATTCAGTATTGTTTGTTCAGGGGGTGTTTAGAGACAAGGTGAAGTGGCTGGCTAAGTTGTTAGGTCCCTTAGAAATGGGGGATTAACTGCATGGTGGTGAAACCAAGAATCATTTCCCAACTTTTCTATAAAATTGAATGTAGTCAACCATAGCCCAATAATCTAATGAGTAAAGTGAAGTTTCAATGTTTTCTTTTAATACATAATGCAGTTCCGAAGAAACTTTTCATTTTGTTTATAAATATCTTCTTGACTGTGTTCCCACTGCTTCAATGTGTTCTACAAAGCTCTGCTCTCTTTTTCTGTAACTCCTATATATTATTTCTTTTTTGATGAATTAAAAAAGGCTCTGACTTTACTCAATTTGGGCTCAAAATACTAAACAGAACATGACTATTAAATAAATAACATAACAATTCACAATAATCTGATACAGTTATAAATGCTGCATGTGTTGATTCTCTATAGTTTGTCATAGCTGCATAAGTTTTGTATTGAATTGACTTCCCCTTTGGAGTTATCACAACAAACATTTATAGAATGAAAACAGCATAACTGTACTTAATAACCTGGCATACCTAAATCAAAACAGAAAAAATGAATTCCAAAATTCTCAAAACAGAAAAAATGAATTCCAAAATTCTCAAAACAGAAAAAATTCTTACATCTCCCCCTCCTCTTAAAAGTAAGAAAAACAGTAAAAAAATCTGTTTTTTTTTCATATTAAAACATTTGTATCAAATGAGGTCAAAATATTTCCCAACAATGTTGACAAAAAAATGTTTTTTATGAGTATGAATGTTATATCTAAATGCCTGAATTCAACTGCTGATGCTGCTTTAATTATGCAACAAAGATAAAAATAGAACGCAGCAGGTGAAACCAGATGCTGCAACACCTTAGTGGTGGGTTTTAAGCTGGGATATCAACATGCACATCAGGCTCAGTCACTCCATTCCTGCATCACTGGGTCACATAGCACTTTCTTTTGACCTATCAACATTATGTACACTCACAGCCACAAATATTCAATCAAAGTTGGGCAACTTATGAGTTTTCTTTAAATATGGCATCATTCTTTAAAAATTAAAACAGCAAACAAGGTACAACTAAAACCCTAATATTATTTGATATTTGAGAAATCTCAAATTTTCAAAGTTAATTAATACTTAAATGTTGGGCCACTTGTGCACAGAACTTCAAGTGCCTTGCATGATAACAAAAAAAATCATGTGATAACATTAGCTGGCTAGGCATTTACCTCATAGTTCCTGAACTGTTCCTCACCCTTGTGATCTGGTCTATATTTGTCTGATGGATCAATTATGTAACATGGAGCCTGAAATATTGGACCAAAATGTATTTATTTATCTGCTGCTAGTATCAAACAGCAAAGTGAATATTTCCAGACCCTCTTACATCATACAGGTGTCCTTTCTCTAACAGCTCTTCTCTATCAGGTATATAAGATTGGCGAGTCAGAGATTAATCCTTTGAACTCCTACACATTTGTACGTGTTGCACCTTTAAAAAACATTTGGCAGTTTTCTATGAGAGCTGTCAGTGTCAGAAATGTTCTCAATTAAGCAGTCAGTTGAGTGCTGTTGTCAACTTACCACCGTGGCCATCTTGCAATGTCGAAACGACGAGCGGACCGTTTTAATCAAAGTATGGTCCTCCTTGTGTAATGACTCTGGACAGGCATCGACGACACGCTTGGGTGCGTCCAAAATATATAACCCTACAGTGGATCTGGTTGAAACAGGTTGAACCGATCTACGTCATCGCTGTGAACATTTGCCTTGGTCAAGGCACGGTTTGTTGACATGAGGAGCCACACAACCCTTCTCCGCCAATCACAGGATTGCGTTAGGTGTGACGTATCATGTAAACATTGACATGTGCTTCTTCGTGTGACTTACATGCAAGTAGGAGTTACGGCATCACGATGTCTTATCTTTTGTACAACCATATCAGCACACTTATTTGACTTCTTGGACTGATCTTCATTTCAAAGGCTATGTTATGTTCGCTGTACACAGTAAGCCTAAGGTCCTTGCTACATTTGCATTACTCACTCCAGTGTCTGTAGCGAAACACTCGACTGGTCTCGATATGTTTTAGAGAGGATTGCTCCTTTTCACTAATTTGATTCTGTAGGGCCTCTTTTGCGTGACTTCCTTATGCAATGGGCGGGTTATACGCTTGTCAATCTCTCAAAGCATTTCAGTGGACAAAGCTGTAATGCACGGTGTGAAAAAGGCCATGGGACGCACGTGTTACCGCACGCGGCTCTACTCTGTACAGGCTAGTTCATACAGAGTGCATTGATCTGGGCCCCGTCACTCGAAAGCATCGCGAATAGCGATATTACATAGAGGCTACAATGTACTATATGGGGCGAATTATGGAATCGAGACGCTTGCGCTTGGTCGCAATGCGCGATGCTTTCAAGTTACGGGGCCCTGGGCGAGGTTTAAGCCGCCGAGACTTCCGGCATGCGTTTCAGACTCGGCCACTTATTCTCTTGAGAATTGCCATGTTACCTCAAATACCCAAGCTCAAATGTCATCACATTTTTCACGCAAAATTAAAATTGTAAGGGCTTCCTTGGATAGATTCAGTCTTGATAGAATGAGTGAACAGAATAAACTGCACTTCTAATAATCCTACGTTCCCGACGGCAAAAAAGATAGGGGCGTTGAACACGTATATTATAGTCTTTTAGCTCTTTGCCCGGCATACCAGTGGTGAAGGAAAGTATATATGTTTGCTGCCAGAATAATAGTTAATTATTAATTCCCTTTATGCCAGAAAACCTTGAAAGATCGCTTCAACCTTCAGGGCATATAGAACATCATAAATTCAAACAAAATACAGTTGGAAACAAAGATGCACAATATAATATTGCCCTGTGAAGAAAAGTTGTCCAAGAAGTGGTTTATGTAGTGAATGAGTGTTTAAAAATGCTAAACTTTGTCACTTTAATTTTTTCTAGATACTGGTTTGAACATTGTATATAGAAGTGGAAACTGTTTAAAATCAAAGAAAAAACATTCTTTTATCAATTTTACAAGTGGTGAGAGTATAATCTAGTTGACCCAGAGACTCTTGCATGTGTGACTTTGTTATGACTATATTATCATTCTCATTAAACCAATCATATTGTTTTTGTAAAAGAGAAACAAAAATAAATACTTCACCTTTTACAGAATGTAAACAGCTTATCAGCGTTAACAGCAGATGGTCTACTGCAATAAGCATTCTCTTGTACCAAACAAATTATTTAAAATGAACACAAGAAAGCAGATAGGCATATCAACACAAAATATTGTGGAAGGAGAGGATTTGATACCAAAGTCAACTATAATACTTTCATCAAATGGCCCCAGATCTAACCAAAAAATAAAAACATTTTCTAATAATAATAATTACTCCCCTTACTCCCATCCACCCTGTCTATGCTCTCATGTTTTCTTATTGCACAACAGTATCACTTATTCAAATTATATGTCATTCAATAAGAGCTAGCCATCCCCAAAGAATATTTTATTTATTATGTGGGTCTGGGTTAATTAATATCATTTCCTTACCCATGCAACAGGAACTATAGGTATGTATTTTTTTTTTTTTTTTGAAATAATAAACTTAAATCATCATACTGTCAAAATTAAATACATATCTACAATGTCATAGATCAATAAATTTGCTCAGTGATATGTTGGAAGTTACATTTCTTTAAATTCATTGCAAAATGTAAACAAAATGTAAAAAAAAAAACATTGTTAAAACACTTGAACCAGTTAATAAATTTGCATCAGTAATGCTATAAATGTTCTTAAATATATTAAATATACTTATAAATAATCTTTGCAGGTCCTGTCACACACAGCTTTAAGCATCATTTTTTTTTCTTTTTAACATATGTACCAGTATATATATAACTTTTGTCAGGTGTTGTAGAAGTTATAATTGGGAAACAAATCTCACCATTCTTTCTAAAAAAAGGAGATTGTCTTTAAACTTTGATTGCTCCTTTCTAGGCTAACAAATAGGAGCACTGCTATTCTCATAACATTGTCTTTTTTGTGTAAAATTTAACAAGTTTTAGATACTCTCCGCTATAATGCTGCTTATTATTGGTTGTACCAGTCTTGGTCACACATCTATTTTGATTATGAAATAGACATCCGCAAAGAAAACTACTGTTGCAAAGGTCATTCCTGCCATAAGTTGCTGAAACAAAACAAAAAATGATTGATTCAAGTCTGGGTTTTCCTTTCATATTAACACCATGAAAGTGTCAAAGAAAAAAAACTCTAAGGAAAAGTCGAACATCATTTTCGATATTCATTTTGCATTAACAATTATATTCTGGCGAGTCATTATTGTTCACTCAGACATTTTGTATTTTTATATGTTTAAATCAGAAAAATTACCACAACACATACAAGTAAGGGAATCCTCAACTCTAAAGGCATATAAATATAAAAGCGCTAAAAATTCTAATTTATCCCAACATATAAATTTTACTTCAAGTGTCTCAAAAATGCACTGACTTATGATGGGCTCAAACTGATCCATGTGCCCTGACAGTGCAATTCTAAAGATGTGCAGATACTACATTTGTTTGAGCTGAGGTCAAATAATTACTGATGTTCAAATGAATTGAAATTCATCCCTGGGGGGGGGGGGGGGGAG